GCGGGGGTGGGGGAGGTACTGCGGAGTGGTGGGGGGCGGCCCAAGGGGGTGGGAGAGGGTCTGGCCCACGCTGCGCCTGGCCTGGGACTTGTCCTGCCAGCGCTGGGTAGCAGGAAGCTCTCCGCACACTCACTGGACCTGGGCTAGGACTGGGTCTGGGGGTTCCCGGATCTCGGCAGCAGTTGTATTATTCTTTTAGTGAAGTTTATTGGTATAGTTTGGATCTACATAATGATCACATTCAGTGAAAGTTAGATTATTTGAATTTTTCTTTTTAGCTCCTAACTTGCTTCAGTTCTGTGCCTAGTCCAGATACTGTTCTCATTATATGAGTATTTTCCAAATATTTTCTTCTAGTCAGTTATCTTTTTATTCTTTTGATGGTATCTTTTGCTGTCCAGGAGCTTTAGTTAGGTCAGTTTTGGCTTTTTTCTCCCCCAGTTTTGGCTTTTGTTACCTGTACTTTTAGGGACATATTCCAACATCTTTGCCCAGATCAGCACCCTGAAATGTGTGCTTGCTGTTTTCTTCTAGGGCTTTCTTGTTTTGGGTCTTAGACCTAAGTCTTTGAACCTTAATTTTAGGATTGACTTTCCTATTTCTGTGAAGAATGCCACCAGTACGATGGGATTATGTTGAATCTGTAAATTGCTTTGGGGAAAATGGACATTTTAACAATATTAATTTTTCCAATCCATGAACATTCACTATCTTTTTTTAAAAATGTATTTAGTTATTATAGCATCTCACTATGCAGTTCAGACTCAGTGATCCTCCTGTTTTCAGCCTCCCCAGTGCTGGGATTACAGGCTTATGCTTTGCTCAGACTCTGGCTGGTTCACTCTGCCCTGGGGGCAGGGCCGGCACAGCATGTGGCACCTGGGATTGAACCAGGATCCCCGAGTTTGCCTAAGTTTACCAAGCAAGCGCTTTAGTTGGCTGAGCTGCCTCACTGACCCCTATCTTTCCATCTCTAAGTGTCTTCTTCTGTACCTTTCAGTAGTGTTTTGTAATTTTCATCCCAGAGTTCACTTTCTTACTTGAGTTCATATTGCTATGCTTTGGTAGCTACTATGAATAGGAATATTCTTTGGGGAGGGGATAAAAAAAGGAATGTTCTTGTTTCATTTCTTAACAATGGAATACTGGCATCCAGTATATTTTATATACTGGTGTGTAAAATGGTCCTGACTTTGTAAAGATTGATATCGTATTAATACATTTAAATTCATGTTATTACATCTAACAGTTTTTATGGAGTCTTTTTTTATTTTTCAAAATTTTGTTGATAAACAGATAGCAATGAGACAGTTTCAAATCAAATCAGAAGTACAGTTTCAACAAATAATACACTGCATATATTCTTCTTAGTGGTTAATTGCTGTACAAGATGCGGACTTGTGATCCTATTTACAAACACCATTAGAACAAATCACTCTATTCATTAAGAGAATGCAACTATATATCTATCCTAACCACTTTGAATACACAGATACAAAATGGACATTCATTGGTATACCCCATTTTTCTAAGTTCCGTTATTGAATATTATAGGTGTGCAAACTCAGCAAAATATTCTAAAAGAGTCCAGTAGACCATAATAGTATTGGGTCTTCCACTTGACTGGCAATGTCAGAAATTATTGACCTGAGTCCCCCACAGCTCAACATAACTTCATGGCTTTACTTCCTATATTTTGTCTTCATACTTTTCTACTGGATGGTTAAGACCAAGGTAAAGCAGGACCTGTGCAATAAGAGTTGTAGCTTTTTGGTCTGAGAAGGTCAGTGTTTATGGAGTCTTTAGGCTTTTCTATAATAAGATCATGCTGCAGGTAACTTGGGAAAATTTGTTGTATGTCCTTTCTTCCTTTCTCCTGCCTTGTTTGTATGGCTACAACTTCTAGTACAGTGCTGAATATGACTGGTGAAAATGCACATCTTTGTCTGATTCCTGATCTTAAAGGAAAAGTTCTCATCATTTTTGTGTTCAGTGTGATGTTTTGTGTCCGTTGTGATCTTCTTACATAGTCTATTTCATTGAGGTCTTTTTTAATGAAAGATGTTGAATTTTATCAAATGGTTCTTCTGTTTCTATTGAGATGGTTACATGACTTTACCCTTCATTTTGCTGATACGATATATTGCATTTGTTGATTCACATGTGGAAGCATCCCTGTATTCCTGGGTTAGACATCAGTTGATCTTGGGTAAGAGTCATGTTTAAAAACCACTCAGCCTAAATCCAGATCTGTCTTTTCTGGAGTGCAGAGAGCAGTGCATGTGGACCAGACACCCTCGTCTAAGCCCTCGAGACCCACTGCGCTAGCATGCGGAGATGGGGGCCTCCAAGGCTGCTCATGCAGGGGTTGGAGGGTGAACATTCTGGTGCCCGGGGCGCAGCAGAAGGGCCCCACTCACCCTCATCCCGTGCCTGCAGGGGTCCTGGGCTCAGCTCTGGGTGATGGGTTCTTTTTGTCTTTTGTGGATGAATCATTAAGATTTCGTCTTCAGAAAAAGATGCATAGGTTCTCTGGAAAGTGACTTCTTTCTTTTCCATTTCAGTGAGGACAGAGGTGAAGAAAGAACAGCAGAGCAGACCAGGCTGGGCTCCTCTGGTGAGCGAAGATAGGAAGATGCTGGCTGCCGTGAGGCTAAAGCGGCCTTTGCCTTGAGGTGGGAGCACAGGTCTCAGCAGACGGTGGCCCCATGCTCGGGCTCACTATGGCTTCCACACTATGGCTTGACGGCTGAGGTGACTGTGTGCCCTGCAGGTGCCTCCTGCTTGTGGGGTGTGGGAACAGGGCCAGTGGAACCAGAGCAGACGCTCCTGGAAACGGGACCACAGGGCCGTGATGGAGGTGACCTGAGACCCCATCGGGCGGTTTTCTCTGGCAGGACAGCTTCAAGCAGGACACAGCTCGCTGGGAGAGCAGTATGCAGGAAGCTGGCTTTCAGGCCACAGACGCTTTCACAGGTGAGACCCCCCTGTGTCGCCTGGTCAGTGACAAAATACCAGCCAGAGGTGTGAGCAGAGTGTGCATTTGCACTTAGGAGCCAAAGGCAGTGTAGTGTCCAAGGCTCAGGCTGCTGTGGTGACTGGCAAAATGTGTGCCTCTCCTCCCTCTGGCAGGAATCTGAAAAAGCATTTGACAGGTTATACTTGGGTTTCTGTTGGGTGGTGGAGACACAGCATCTGGCACTGTCTGCCGGGACCCTCCCATCCCTGTTCTCTGGGAAGTGTGTCCCTCGCAGAGCAGTGCATGGGAGTTTTAGAAATTAGAACTAGGAAAACTTCCAAAGGGGAGAAGTCAGGCGCTGCTGAGGAGCTGTCCCTCTCCACCTTTAATTGCTGGTTTAGCCTCTGCTAATGGTGGCGGTGCAGAGAGCTCCCCACGAGGTCAGGACTGCTGTCTGACTGCTGAGATCCTGACACCTGAGCACCAAGGTTTGGTGCTTTGCCACTGCCTGCACATCAGCAGGGAGCCCCCCTCTTGGTGCTCAGGGCCAGGCCTGAGGCACAGGCTTGGGCTTTGGGATCCTGGCATCAGAGGAGGCTGTGTGTTGCTCCTGGGCCACTGACTGCTTGTTTGTGGCCTGGAAGCTATGAAGTTGTTACATATGGGGGGGGGGAGGGGGCCGGGGAACCAGCAGCAACCAGCGGGCTTGTGTAAAGGCAACATGGCTCGGAATTTATTGTGCCTGGGTTCAGGCGGAGAGTGCAATAAGACTGTAAGACTATCTGCTCCCAACAAAGAGAAACGTGTTCCTTCATAGGGATGGAAAGAAGGCAAGTGGGAAGGTTTAATAAACATCTGACATCTTGTGTCCCAGTGGGCAAAGTCCTTATAGTGTCTGATGTAAACTTCCAGGTGTTTCCAGATGTCCCCAGGACCTGCAGACTCCCTTGCCCTACCTTACTTCCTTTCTTGTCCTGGCCATACAGGTCCTGGTGCTGAGCTTGCTCCCTGAGAGACAGTGCTTCTGCTGGCAGACAGGTGGGGACTGGAGGAGTCAGGCCCAGAGGGAGACTTACAGACCTTGAGGAACCTAATGGAATCCATGGGAAACTTTTTTACACAAAAGGAGGTTGTTTTGGTTTATGCTCCTCATTTAAAAGGAGAGATGGTGGTCTAAGCCCAGGTGCAGCATGGGTGAGACCCTCTTCCACTCCATGGGACACCCCCCCAATTCGTAGCCACCCCCATGCCCACCAAGTGAGAACTTCTGCCACATTCTCAGGGCAGATCCAGCCCTAGCCCAGGCCTGGTGAGTGTGTGGGAGAGCTTCCAGCTACCCTGTGCCAGAGGGACCTGTCAGTCCAGGCCCAGGCAGAGTGTGGGTGAGACCCTCCTCCACCCCTTGGGAACCCCTACCACTCCACAGTCCCTCTGACTCCTGCCCAGTGAATGAGAACTTCTGCTGCATTCTCAGGACCCCTAGATCAAGCCCTAGCCCAGGCCTGGTGAGTGTGTGGGAGAGCTTCCTCTCCTCCCACTCCACCTTATCACCTTCAGACTCAGCTCAGGCCTGGCATACAGGCCTGGGGTGAAACCCTGCAGCTGCAATCCCTGCAGAGAGAGTAGGGGAGAGAACCACCCAACTAGTCCAGGAGCAGAACATCTTGCCAGAGAGGCACAACAGGTTCACTCCCAAGGGCAGCAGCTGGAAGGAGCTGAGCACAGCAGCCAGACCCAAGCCTGGCATAGCTGGATAACTTCAAACATTGTAGATTTGCACCTGAATTTCAGTAGGTGCTAAGGTTATAACAGCACTAAAATTCTACAACAAAGGTCAGAAGATAGTGCTATACAAAATGAAACGAGAAGGAGCAAAATACAATCTCAGACCCCAAGCCTACCCATAACAAGTGCAGAAGACCCTAGCACAGAACACATTGGGAATCACACAGCTGAAATCAGTGAATCAAAAGCATCTGAGATAAAGAAACAACTGTAGAAAGGTATAGAGGAACTCAGATTGCAAATTAAAAGAGAAATCCCTGAATTAATAGCATCTGCAGTAAAGAATCAAATGCAGAAACATATGGAGGAAACCCAGTGCCCACCCAGAACAAGTGCAGAGGACACTAGTTCAGCTGAAATGTATGAATTAATAGTGTTGAAAGTAAATAAGAAACAGCAGAAAGTTATAGAGGAACTTAGAGTGGAGTTATTTTCTGAAACAAAAAAGCATTCTCTGAACTCATAGCATCTGAAGTAAAGAAAGAAATACAGAAACATGGGGAGGAAACCCAATCTGAAAAAAAC